GGAGGTGGCCGTTGTAGAGAGGTGGCCGTTGTAGAGAGGTAGCCGTTGTAGAGAGGTAGCCGTTGTAGGGAGGTGGCCGTTGTAGAGAGGTAGCCATTGTAGAGAGGTGGCCGTTGTAGAGAGGTTGTCGTTGTAGAGAGGTGGCCGTTGTAGGGAGGTGGCCGTTGTAGAGAGGTGGCCGTGGTAGAGAGGTGGCCGTTGTAGAGAGGTGGCCGTTGTCGTGAGGTGGCCGTTGTAGAGAGGTAGCCGTTGTAGAGAGGTGGCCGTTGTAGAGAGGTAGCTGTTGTAGGGAGGTGGCCGTTGTAGAGAGGCAGCCGTTGTAGAGAGGTAGCCGTTGTAGAAAGGTGGCCGTTGTAGAGAGGTAGCCGTTGTAGAGAGGTGGCCGTTGTAGAGAGGTAGCCGTTGTAGAGAGGTGGCCGTCGTAGAGAGGTAGCCGTTATAAAGAGGTAGCCGTTGTAGAGAAGTAGCCGTTGTAGAGATGTGGCCGTTGTAGAGAGGTAGCCGTTGTAGAGAGGTGGCCGTCGTAGAGAGGTAGCCGTTATAAAGAGGTAGCCGTTGTAGAGAAGTAGCCGTTGTAGAGATGTGGCCGTTGTAGAGAGGTAGCCGTTGTAGGGAGGTGGCCGTTGTAGAGAAGTAGCCGTTGTAGAGAGGTGGCTGTTGTAGAGAGGTAGCCGTTGTAGGGAGGTGGCCGTTGTAGAGAGGTGACCGTTGTAGATAGGTGGCCGTCGTAGAGAGGTGGTCCCTGTAGGGAGGTAACCCTTGTAGAGAGGTGGCCGTTGCAGAGATTTGAACTTTGTAGAATGGTGGCCGTTGTAGAGAGGTGGCCGGTGTAGGGAGGTAGCCGTTGAAGAGATGTGGCCGTTGTAGAGGGGTGGCCGTTGTAGGGGGGTGGCCGTTGTAGGGAGGTGGTCGTTGTAGAGAGGTTACCGTTGTAGGGAAGTGGCCGTTGAAGAGATGTGGCCGTTTTCGAGAGGTGGCCGTTGAAGAGATGTGGCCGTTGTAGAGGGGTGGCCGTTGTAGGCAGGTGGTTGTTGTAGGGAGGTGGCCGTTTTAGAGAGGTGGCCGTTGAAGAGATGTGGCCGTTGTAGAGAGGTGATCGTGGTAGGGAGGTGGTCGTTGAAGTGATTTTGCCGTTGTAGAGAGGTGGTCGTTGTAGGGAGGTGGCTGTTGTAGGGAGGTGGCCGTTGAAGGGAGGTGGCCGCTGTAGAGAGGTGGCTGTTGTAAGGAGGTGTAGTTTTTCTTTTTTTATCATGATATGTCAAAATGTGAATTTGGATTTTTAAGATTTTATTTCAGAAATCTTTAGATTTCAAGAGTTTGTATGTACTTGATTTTAGATTTTTTGATTTTCATTGCAGTTTTTTAGTCATACGGTTTATAGCTATACGTATTTTTGTTTCTAGTAAAACGACCCCACTAGCTTCTTAGCTTTTAGAACGAGGGGAATGGTCCACTCTCTTTTTTTGTATTCAACTCGGGCAAGGGACTCCTTGATAGGTCCTTTCATGTGGGGATAGTCTCACGATTTCCCTTTTAAGGAGGTGTATTCCTCTTTTTGTCATAATTTGCATCATTTCCTACATGAATTAAGTCTGCCTTATTGTTTGTTTGTTTTTTTTCTTTTAGTTCTTTTGTCTTCTGTTATAACAAGTCTTTTGCATGTATGTCAGGATTTCATTCTGTACAAATCCTTCATTTGTTGCACTCACTGCTGTGCTAACTCGTGAAAGAAAGTAATACCACGCCAGTCAAGTTGTGTCAAAGATTGCATTGTTTGACAGGGTCTCTTTTGACTTGCTGATCAGATCCGAAATCCGATTCTTCGATCCGATCCACATAATGCCATCCAAATTTTTCTCCAGCCCACACCCGTGATTTCACTACTTGGAACATCATGTATGCCTACTTACAATGTACCTCGCATCGCTGTCCACTGCACGATGAAATATTCTCAACGTTTGAAAACTAAATGAAGCTAGATTCAGATTATTTAGACTGGCAGGTGTTTTGCATTCATGGCTCATGGCGGCTCACCAGTCGTTGTGAGTGGAGGAACTATTTTAAACCGTTTTCTAGCGTTCTTAGAGCGACTTTCCCTTGAAATTGAACAAGACCAGCTCGACGGTTTGAAGTTCTTACTTCAGCGAAAAATTCCACTGGGAATTTTGGAGAAGTGCCTCACTGCAAGGCAACTGTTTACTCGGATGATGCACCATTCTCTCTTAGGAGAAGATAACTTGGAGATCCTGGAGCAACTTTTCAAGGAAATTCGAAGATCTGATCTTGCAGAACGTGTCAGAGTTTTTAAGCAGTCTTCTGTGGACATGGAGACGGAGTTACCAGGTAACGTGAACGTTTTTCTGATGGGTTGTGTGTGGGTCGGGTAGCAGCCCACGATGACGACAAACGGAGTTACAAGTCAGTAACGAGAGCTGCTTCAGTTCCGTTGTGTGTAGACTCAGCTTAGACTGTAACTGCGCGTATAAACGTAAACGTAGGCACACATGAGGGGACAAGTCCCACAGACTACTTCCTGCGACGTACGCACAAGTCCCTTGAAGAGTTATACGAGGGGACTGAAAATGGCTTTGCAATCGGAACATAGCAAAACCTAGGGGCAAAATGTATCGTTCAGATTTCACACTGCAGCTGCCTCAAAGGGAAACTGGAATTATTCAATTAACAAATTGAATGTAGCATTGAAATGATTAATCAGTATGAACAGTCAGACTGCACATTGTGCGAGTAAATTATTCAGTGCTTTTTTTTCAGACAATAGAGTGGTGTTAGTTTAGTGCACATCCCATGAGCTTATAACTTTAATCTTTACCGTGGATAAATAAAGTCTTGATTTGATTTGAGGTACCTTAATAAGGCCCTTCAATCTGGTCAGTGTAGAAGGCAGACTAGTCTGCAGTCTGCATTTTACCCCTGGTCTGCAGTCTGCATGTTCCTGCCATCCGGACCAGTATTTTCCCTCAATCCTGTTACTCTTTACGACTTCTATCAGCTAATCCCTGATCCTGGTCATATTTTCCAGTCCCTTACCTCAACAGAAATGATCCTCTTCAATCAAGGTCAAGATTCCCACATGACAAATCCAAGCTGAAGTGTCAAATAATTAAATTAGCTGTCAGTATCTCTCTCCACCAAAATAATAACATTATAATTATTTGTTTTCACAATCAGTGTAAATGAGACAATCAGTCAGTCAGTCAGTTATGTCTTTTTTACAGCTCGTTCCTTTTTCATTCTTTTTTTTTTCTGTTTTGCCCCTATTGTGTGGTAACACCTACCTTTCTAGACTGCTCACAGTCCTCTGTTTTCTTGTACTTTTATTCGATTGTTGAACACACAGATAGAATGGTGAAAGAACTGGACACCAGTGCAAAATGGAAGACTTGACTGAGTAGGGGGTGGGGACTGAGATAAATAGAGGGGCTATAGACATCTTTGGAAAAAAGTGAATTCCGTGTTTCTCCAGAAACTGAAAATTCCCATTGGTTGAAAGGCGACAAAAGTGTCATCACCTTGACGATGGCCGATCATGATGGTGTCCAGGTGCATTTTGTGGCAGTTGTCATAACTGACACGTGCCGTGGTTCATAATGGAGTGGTTGTTTTCAAAGTAGAATCCTGTTACAAGAAATTTCAATGTTTCTTTGCTCAAAGAGGCTGCTGTTCATCTTCTTCGGTCAAAAGACGTTGCAATTTTACCGACCAGCTTTGAGGAAAGTCTGATACATTAACTCTATGCAACGGCAAAAGAAATGCAAATGGTGCGAATGCAACTAAAAAGCAACATGAAAAAACAAATAGAAGAGATAGAAGAGCTCAGGATTCTTTCCATCATTTTTTCAACAAAGGAAGACATGCTTCTGCTGATTGGAGAAGCGAAATACAAGCTTGTTTTGGAAGACAGTGGAAGACTTTTTGGATGCAAAATTCCAAAACATGTTATTCTCCACTAAAACAAATTCTGTCACGTTCATTGTAGTTGATGAGTGCCACACCGTGTAACACCTTCAGAGTAAATTCTCTGCAGATATTTAAGACATCTTGCCAAGATTCCCCAAGGGAATAGCAAAAGAACAAGTGCATATCCTACAAAAATCGGAAGGCCTGCTTGATTTCAGCTTTCTCCCCTTTTAGCAGCATTTTTTTGGAGTTGAAGACGTGTCTGGGACGTCATCCTCAACACCCAAATGCATGTATGTGTTGTTGTTTGCAAACTGATACTTGTAATCAATAAACAAGCAATTTACTGCTCAAATTTTATTGGTCTGGCCTCATTATTAAATTGGTCAAGGTGTGGAGCTCTTAGTAACAAGGCGATAACAGGGAGAGGAGCCTAATAACTCCACTTTTTTCCAAAGATGTTTATAGCCTCTCTATTCTTCTTGCTCATTTCGCTCGCAAACCCCACTGCCCCACGTGCTTCGTACTAGCTTTGCTCACTTTTTCTTTCACGTGAGTAAATAGACAGGCTGTGAACAGTTTACTGCCTTTCTGATTATTTTGATAACTGAAAAACCTTTTCAGGCAGAGATGGTGACAATCAAAGAGGAGCATAATAGGGCTGGTTATTACATGAAAACCAGACTTGAGAAGTACATATCACTACATGCCATGGCAGTCTCATAGTTCACTACTATCAACAATCTATTAAAAACAGCTCTAAATATTGCAGTTGAAGGGGTGCGTAAAGTAAAGCCCTATGTGATGTTTGGAAAACTTTGAGGTAACCAGCATTGAAATACCTACCAGCATTTTTCACAGTTTACTCTTGTCTTTATTATTGACTAAAAAAAAATAGCAATAAGTACTAGTTCTTATTAGACAATATCTAAAACCAGAGTAAACTGAAAATTGCTGTACATATTAGGTATTTCAATCCAGGCTGCCTCAAAATTTTCCAAAAGTCACTTAGGGGTTTATTCCACCCACCCCTTCAATTGTTACAGTTTGGATAACACACTGCAGGTTTAATTAAACCATTCAGTATACTAATTGGATTTTCTTTTTCAGCAATGGAGATAGCTTGCTTTGGCATTGGTTTACAAAGAACAGACCACAATGTGAAAGATGCAAAGGACAAACTGGTGATTAGCATGAATGCTTCTTTAGGTATCAATCCTTCAGAAATACGCCTTATAGGAAATGAAGAATTGAGCGACAGTTGGTTTAACTTAACCTTTGAAATACCGAACAAAAAGGAGGTGTTGGACAAACTTCGCTGGGCTGCCATTTATAAGGAATCTTGGCTTGGCCTTTGTGGAGTCAAATCAGTGACAATTGGCGATGAGTCTCAAATCTTAATGCAGCCAATTACACGCTCACTATCACTGACCATCCAGGCTGGTGAGTTATCAAATGAATTTAAAAAGAAAAATAGTTAGGAAAGTTATGATAGATTTTACAAATGTAATAGCAGTGAAATATTTTAATAGTGGAATGCACCATTGCAGCATGTACATGTATGCCCCACAATGTTGAGGGTCTACTGGGGGGTCAGGGAGTTGCATATCCCCTTGATCGCTTGAAAATTTCACTTTTTCTCCCTAATATTCCCTATAGTTAGGGGTTTCATTAAGGGCCAGGTACCGGGCAAATTGACTGGTTGTGAAAAGGAATTTGCCCTGCTGGTTTGACCATCCAGAGGAGAGTTTTTCTTATATCACAAGTTCAGTTCAAAAAGTTTTGCATGGCTGTGATAGCCAGTTGCCATCCTGCTGAAAATGTTAATGAAACCCCTGACAATAAATTCCATTGTTCCGTAGACTGCTTTTGTCAAAGTTCCCTTTAATAGTAGAGAGATCCCTTGTTCCATCAGATAATGCCAAAAGTATCCCTTGTTCCCTTGAAATAAATTGTCATGTTCCCTTGTTCCCTAGAACCCCTATGAGGCCTGCTATGTTCTATGTGCAAGCTCTGAAAAGTTATGAGGACTTGTTAGAAGTTCTTGTTTGTCAAAATACATGTAGGAGGGCATTTTCAACACAAATTCGTGCCTAGCTTGTGAACAGGCTCCCAGTGAGGACGGAAAAAAAGATTCGGCTAGCGGAAAGCAGAAGAATGAGCAAAGCGATAGGGGTGGGACTGGGGAGCCTGTAGACTTAGTGATAAGCCTGTAACAAATCAGTCAATGAGGTAATTAGACCTGTCAAGAAGCTACATTTTCTGTACTTGTAAACAGTTCTAATCAACCTAATCAAATAGTTGGGCCCAGTGTCATAATATAGAGTGCAAGTAAGTAACATGTTCGTGGAATATCTCAAACTTTGTCCCTCCAGTGCCAATACTAAGAGAGCTTAAAACATATTTTGAAATACTGAAATGAGCCTAAAGTTATTATAAGAACATGATAGAGGTGTCAAACTCTGTGAAGCAACATGCAGATACCAGCGGAAAATCCGGAAACCAAAAATTTGCTATAGCACAGCCAAAGGCTCCACTCTACTAGCTTCTACTTAAAATTCCTCCTCATAACAGAGCATAAAGTACCCTTCAGAATGACTTGTCAAATAACGAAAGGTCGAGAGACCAAAAATTAAAAGAGAACGGCAAATGCGCAATTGTCACGAACTGTAGGACTCATGTAGGGTGGTCAACCAAACAAGTTAATTTTGGCTTGGAACCACTGTTAAATATGCTCTTTTTGTTTTATTTTGTTGTAGGTACAGTGTGCTGTCATAATGACAAAAACCTGGACCTGATCCTGGTGGCAGATTGTGCCATATCAAACCCTGTCTTGTTAGGGCACTTAAAGACTCAGCTGTGCCATCTTGTCAGTGACATCTTCAGAAAAGGTTTTCATCTCCGACTGGCATTAATTTGTTACCAAAACCACCAGAAACATGCCCGGGGTGGCATGCGATCTGGTAATCCCCTGATCAACAGTACAGTGCACACCCAGAATTTTACTGAAAACAGAGAAGAAATGAAGAACTCCATAAAGAACCTGCGTTGTTTTGGAAAGAAAGGTACAACTAAAGGGCTGGCTGATGGACTAGCAGCAGCACTGCGTCTTAGTGAAGCTGATGTTAACCCTAATGGTTCCAAGTGTCGTAGTGATGCCATCAAAATCTGTATATTACTACGTGAGTATAAAGAAGAAAAATATTAATGTAGTTATTGTACAATAATCAACAATGCTGTTTACAAAATGCTTAATATTATAATTACATTATTTTTATTTTTGTGCTATATTATCATTTGGCAACTAATGACAAGTAAGAAGACTGTTTTTATTGAAGTCTTAATTTAACACTTTTTACACAGTCAGTTTTAGATAATCAGTCTCTGTGATATTAAGTAAATTTCTGTTTACTACGGCTCTATCGATCTGTCATAACTATGTGACTTACAATGTAATGATGGACATTAACGAGCCTATTGCTAATAAAAGTTAATAATTAAAAAAGAACTTCCAGACTTGAATGAAACAAGCCTGGCTATGCAGGATGACCACTGAAGTTGAAGCAACAATAGCTTTATTTGCATGACCATAGTGATCACAGTATTGCAAAGTTTATTTTCTAAAACAATAATAAAGCACTTGGAAAATATACGTGTACAATTAAATCATGTAATACAAAACATGAAGATATAAATTTAATCAATAGTAAATTAACTACTGTAGATAATTAGAAGAATTCATCAATATTTTGATAGTATTTCTTATGTTGGTTTGTCAAACATAAGGCAGTTGAAGGATCTTATATGAGGGGTAAAGTGTGTTATGGTAGATGAGATCCCCATAGCAACACCATTGTAGTCAAGTTGATTTCCTTAAATTGAGGAATATAAAGTCCAAAACATGTGCATCAAATGAATTCAATTAATTATTTTTCTGAGTGGAATTTCTTTTAATTCATTTTATTACAGCCATGATGGATGGGAGGGCAACCCTTGAAATCTACAGATGTGAACACGGCCATGATGTGATGAAACTGTGCAGACAACTTACAGAGAATGCTGTAACTCTTTACACAGTGACTGTGGCCACATCCCAGCCAGTTCCAAACTATCTTGCAGATCACCCAGCATTTGCGTTAATGGCAGACTTTTTTACTGGAATTTCCTACATGACAGGTGGCCAATACATTCAGATACAGAATATCAAACTTATTTCTGAGGTAAGGAAGTGTCCCTGTTGATAGTAGATTTAATTAAAAATTTGTAACTTGCATCATGACATCTGACAAAAAGAACAGATGCCCTCAAACAGAACAACTTAATATGATTAACAATAGACAGATTGAAGCTTAAGTGTGTATTTTGCCTAAGGGGGTTTTTACGGGTTTTTTTTATGGTACCCTCAGTCTGTAAAGCATAGAAATTAGTTCTAACCTTGTGTTTTCCAATCAGACACTTTTTACCCTAGACTCGAGCTTTAAAGTTCCTTTGTGAGCCTTGCCTATCCAAGTTGACCCATTTATTTATGTATTAATAGCAGAACAGGCCAGTCACTGTCAACAAACTCTACAGATGTCTTACAGTCAATTAACATAATCACAGTTAAACTTCAACTAATCAGTTCCAAATGATAGAATTGCAACCAGAGTTACAACACCAGCCACTGACAAACACTGCAGCAAATACTCTGAAGATAACTTGACTGCTCTGGTACATTGTTGAAATGTCAGTCACAAACAACAGTTCTTTTTAGAACTACCAGCTCACCCAGACAGTCACTTGAGGAACTAAAGAACTTTTTCTCTCTGCTTTTCCTTTGTTGTAATGTAGGTTATCATGTATGCAATTGATGAGGATGTTTCTATGGAACAGCTTTTTGGTACAGCATATGACATTATCATGGAGCAAATCAGAAAGCCAGACAGTAAAGACATCAACCTACAAGAATTGGCAAATGTGCTTGAACAGGCACTCAATCAGAGATTTTGTCGTGTAAGCCTCATACTACTCAATAGATTGACCATTGGACCAAGATCTAAGTTAGCAAAGATGTTTTCGCTGGATGAAAACATTGATGGTGCTTGCACAACTTTTCAGTTTGCTCTGGCCAGAATACAGCAGTCTAGTATTGCCACTGCACCAGGAACACCAAGAGATGTTGACATGGAAGTGGAAGAACCACAAACACCTAGTCCTCAAGTTTCGTTATCGACTAATCATGAAATAACCATGGATGTTTCAGAGAGAATGGTGCGGAAAGTTGGCCTTCGTAAAGCTCACCACTGGCCAAGATGAACATAAAAATGTCAACTACGAAAAGATGACAGTTTAAACCATTCACATCTAGGACATAGATTTGCAAAAGTAGAATTTCATGGTTGCTTCATTCACAACCTGACAAACAGCACATTGTATTTAAGTCATGGACTGAAAGTAACCCTCTGTGGCTAAATCATGACAAGCAGAAACTAGAATTAATGTCTGCAAATGTGCATGGAAAATGTGTGCCTTGATCCTTGGTATAAAGATGTTTGTGATTAAAAATTTGTAGTAATAATATTTTTGATACAACTGTTCAATAATATCCTTATTTCTCAAGAAAGAAACTGTTTTAAATTCATCAAGGGTCTTACTGTTTGACTTAATTGATGTAAAGATTTTTTGGTTTATAGAAATCTTTAATAGTGTTTGGAAAAAGTATAGATCTCAAGACTTTGACACTATACTCGCTGCTTGATATTAATTAATATTACTCCCATGTGAAGGTAACAGTAGATAATTATTTCTCGACAAATGTATTAATGGTTAATAATGTAATTTAAACGTTCGTAGGTTAGTATTTAAAACACTGAGCAGTCAGTGCAGTTGCCTGAATGTGATCTACAGACTCAGTCTAAAATTGAATAGCTTATGAATACGAAGTGCAAAATTTAGAAAAAACTGTATATCTGTGACATAATTTGTTGAAAAACGCTGAATATTATTCAGGGCTCAAGAAAAACTTGAATTCCAGCTTACCCTTCACAGAAGTGGCTCTCAAATTTGCTTGCCCTGAGCAGGTCTTAGTTTACCTTTCTTTTATTTAGTTGGCAGATGACCTGCCTGGACCCTTGCCCACTGGGCAAGTGAGAATGAAAAGTTTTATACTTGCCCAGTGGGAAAATCTGCTTGTCACAGACAACTGGACGGCTCTTTTTCAAGCCTTGATTATTAAGTTAGAAAGCTAAGACACTCAAGAATCCTGACAGCTGCAATTAATGTTGATCAGTGCAGCTAAGAACTCGCGCTCACCTCCAAGAATAACGTCATTCAACAACATATTTCAAACTTTTTTATGTCAGTCACAATTTATGTACTCTGGCTAGCTCCTCACACTGCTTTTAGTCATTTATTTATCCTTTGGAGAATTCTTGTAAGTCAATGAATAGCTTGGTGTTTTGCTTTAACTTAGAACAAAGAAACGGTTTTTACCATTATGCCCCATTCAGGCTTTGCTGTAACAGTGGCTCTAAATGATAGATATTATTTTCATATGAAATATGAAAAATAAAACATTGACAACAGGCCTGAAATGTGCTATATTTTATTACCTAGTCCTGGTTTTTGTTTTTATAGTGATGGCCAGGAATTGAAGTTGGGTAGGGTATTCCCCTCATAGGCCAAACAGAGTGTAGCAAGGGGAGGGCTGGGTGGGGGTGATTCTGTTTCACCCACAAATTTTGACTTTATTTACTTGTCACATATTCTTTTGGCTTCTTTTAACAATTTTTTTTTTATCAGAAATTCATGTATCTTGTATGTTTTTTCGTTGCTTTTCATGCGAAACACACTGAACTTTATCCTCATCACAGGTCATACATGAGCCCTTTGCCACCCTCTGTACTGAAAGGTACACTGTACCCTTACAATTTCAAGGCGTATAAAAGGGAAGAGAGCCCCCTCCCTCATAAGTTGTATTTTGCTCAGAGTAAAGCCCAGTGACAGGTGTTCAAAGGGTGGATAGTCTTGGGGAGTGTTGGGGGGGAGGAGGAATGGGGTATTTGACACATGTTTGGGTATAGGGGTGCAGCCTACAGTTTGTCCTATTTAGGACTAAAAAAATACTCTGAAAACTCAGCCCTGTGTAAGACAATACCCTCCATTTAAGGCCCCGTTTAGGACGAGATATAGGTTATGAAAACCCTGTGTGACACAGTGACATCTTTCTGTCATCACAATATCCAACACAGAGATTAGACTGACTGGTATGATGTATTCTGTCAATATGCACTTGTTTTGATGCTGATTAAGTGGAAAAAGAATTAAAATTAAAGGACAAGAGCATAGCTCTTGGTCTGAAAATGATCTGATGTTGACTGATGACCTTGTAAAGACCGGTTGCATTGATGTCTCTAATCTTGGACTGATGGTGTAACGATAACCTGTTTAGGACAGGTAACAGACCCTGTTTAGGACAGAGGCAAGTAAAATAATTGTATTCACTGTTCAGGACAACACATCCCCATAAAGGCCAAATAAGCGAGTACCCCTTCCCCATCCCTGATAGCAATTTACGAGGGAGATGTAATTGTCGTCTTTATATTACTGTCTGTGTTAGCATACATTTCATTCCGTTATCTGTGGGCAAAGTTAGTAGTTATGCGTGCCCAGCCCTGGGGGGAGGGGTTGTACTCCAGATTTCAAGTGACAGGGAAAATAATTTTAAAAAAAATCAAGACAATCAAACCTAGAGTCAACCAAGCAAAATCAAAACTTTTTTAGACCTCAGTTCAGTTCTGCTGCAAGACATTTATTGACCAATAAGAACCCAGTCAATGTAAAACCTGACCAGGGAGAGGAAGGACACAACAAAAAGGAAAGTGATGGTCACGCAACTCGGAGAAACATTGCGTGACGATGACTATCGAATGAAGAACGTTGCGCCCTGGGAACAAACGGAGGAAGGTCATTGGAAGTTGAAGGCTCTGGGAGGCATTGAACGTGTTGGGGCTAAAAATTGACGACAAAATTAAGCACTGAGTATCAGAAGTAAGTTTCAATAGTTCTAACTTGATCTTCATCAGGTTAAGTGTCAGCAGCCCAGCTAGGTATAGCTTTATTCCGTTTCCTTTCTGTCTATGTCTCCGTCACTTTCTACAGACTGTTCTTGGCCATTCCATTTTTTTCCACACCCCCACTGTTGACGAAATTTTCCAAAAAACGTAGAAGGGAAGGTCCGTGGACGAAATTTTCTGAGGGGTATAAGGAATAAGGCGAAAATTTCCGAAGGTCACGAGGACGCTTTTGAGATTTTCTAATGGTCAGTATTGCTGCGTATTGGGAAGATCTAATAAAATTCTCTAGGCAGTCACAAGGTTACCTTGCATCTCTTTTCTGAGGGGTCTTGAAAAAATCGTGTCGGCACTTTGATCTTTTTCTTAGGGGGTTGGCAGTCACGTGGATATAAATGGAATGGCCCTAAAAATATAGTGGGTTTGCCATTCATTTATCCAGCTAATATAAATTTAAATGCTAGACTATAATGCTGGTGATTGTATTTTAATTACCTTTCTGGGTATTCCTTAAAAGTGGTGTTGATCCTAAATTTTTTTTTTTTTGGCTAAATGAAAAAGAAACCCAATACCATTACACGGAATTTGTTTAAAGTTGAATTGAAAGTCTTCGCATTTTACTAGTAAGACAAGAAAAAAATGACACCCCGGGGCACACCAACTAGTCAAATGCCTGGGTTATGCACAAGCGTATCTAATCAATATATTCGATACTAGATGAAAATCGATCATAATCGATACTAATCAATTGATTAATATCGAAAATCAATTGGTCACTTTCTTGTGATTATTGATTTTTGTCTATTTTTGTAATTTTAGCTATCAATTTTATCAGTAATATTATTTTTGTTGAAATGGACAAGGATCATGTCGATACATTCATTGTCATTAAAACTGTTCAGTTGTAGCATTTGACTGATCCTTGTCAGAATGGATGACAACTAACATCATCTAACATAATAGAATTTATGATGGTTTTAATCTTCAAAGTTGATTCACACGTTAAAGCTGAAGGTAAGTTTTGATGAAGAGTGTACACCACTTTTTGCTTTAGGAGATTGTATTAATATACGCCTTGCATTTTTTTATGGATTTCAATCGATTGAAATGACTGAATCAATTGAAAAATATTGAGTATTATTGATTAATCGATTAGCATTCCAATGATCGATTTCCATTGATTAGATATGCCCCAGGTTATGCCAAGGCTCAGGGTGGTGGTGGAGAGTTGATATCTCTATTTGATCAATACATTATTCTGCTGCTGGGGTACCTTGATTTTAAAGTTTTTGTACTACTTATATGCACTATGGGAAACATAACTCGCGTGACACATGATGGGTAATACTACTGTAACAGTCAAACCTCACAAGAGCAGACAGCCTTTTGGGACCAGAAATCGTTTCCACTTGTCTGCTAATTATTTGGGAGATTTAAAATGTAGTGTTTGTATGTGGCTGGGACCCATTAGTAAGTATCCTCTTTTGCCTGGAAGGTGTCCGCCTACAAGGGATATCTGTTAGCAGAGGTTTGACTGTATTGATTTTTCTACTATTTCAAAGAAAGAGGAAATAATTATGTTAAATTATGTAAACTGTGTGTTAATAATTCTTCATTACTGTGTTGCTTACCTGAGTAAATATTTTATTAATTACTTCCAGGGAAGATATGGCAGAAAGTAAACCCAAGTTATACTGTGCCTGGTTCTGCCCATTTGCACACAGAGCGTGGATTTCAATGCTAGCAAAGGGAGTGGATTTTGAGTACATAGAGCAGGATCCTTACAATAAGTCTGCAGAATGGCTGGCTGTCAATCCACGTGGACTGATACCTGTCATTGTACACAATGCTAAATCAGTCTACGAGAGTCATGTCTGCATAGAATATATTGATGAAGCCTGGCCAAGTGAACAAAGCTTACTACCCAAAGATCCTTATCAAAGAGCCAAGGCTCGCATGTGGGGAGATTTTATCTCCAAGAAGATCATACCACCATATTACCGTTTCCTACTGAAGCAGTCTCCAGAAATACAAAATGAGGCCAGAGAGCAGTTCCTGGCTGCTATCCTGGAGTTCACAAAGGCAATGGATGAACCAGGCCCTTTCTTCCAAGGCATGGAGCTTGGTTATGTTGACATCATGTTTGCTCCATGGGCTTGCAGAATGTACATCTTGGAGCATTACCGTGGCTTTGAAATCCCTCAGACAGATGAGTTTAGAAGATATCATGTGTGGGCTGAAGCTGTGAAGAATCACCCCAGTGTAAAAGCCGTTCTACAGGATAAAGATAGGGTTTTGGCAAATGCTAAACCGTATGCAGAAGGCAATGCCAAATCTGAACTTGCAGATGCTGTCCGTAAAGACACTACTATTCCCTAGGGACTATTTGCTTTAAAGCACAGGACACACCGCAGGCAAATGTACCTCTCGAACGGTCCTATATGTAAAAGACCTAACAAACAATTGTCTCACCAGACAGTCATTTCATATTTGAATAAAACATTGGTGCTGACAGTGTTCAGCCTAGTCAGGGTAAGATTTAACGTAGTGATATCAGTAAATCATGCATAGTGACGACACTGGTAGAACATTTTATAGATTATCTGTTAATGGTGCACAGCTTACATTAATTTTAGGTGATAGCAGAAATACAGGATATTTTGATACTAACGTGCAGAGTTTATATCACTAATAATTAATGCCCTAAATATTTAGCAGACCATATTGTAATTTTTGTAATCTGGACATCTTAATATATGCGCAAAATGATAATAAATGTAGGATTTTACTGAAAAACACTTGTTTTGCCACTAAAAGGCAACTGTGTTTGTAATTTGTCATTCACTTTTTTAATTGTGTGATTTTAAGCTTTAGATGGTATCACCTTCCTAGAATTTTGTGTTATGAAATAACACTGACATTTTGAAAATGAACTTGTTTAATCTTAATGTGAAGGCAAGATTGAAATAAACACATTTATTTTCATTTTGATGCAAAATTAATTGGGCAGTTTGTTGTGAGTTGATTTCCNAAAAAAATCAAGACAATCAAACCTAGAGTCAACCAAGCAAAATCAAAACTTTTTTAGACCTCAGTTCAGTTCTGCTGCAAGACATTTATTGACCAATAAGAACCCAGTCAATGTAAAACCTGACCAGGGAGAGGAAGGACACAACAAAAAGGAAAGTGATGGTCACGCAACTCGGAGAAACATTGCGTGACGATGACTATCGAATGAAGAACGTTGCGCCCTGGGAACAAACGGAGGAAGGTCATTGGAAGTTGAAGGCTCTGGGAGGCATTGAACGTGTTGGGGCTAAAAATTGACGACAAAATTAAGCACTGAGTATCAGAAGTAAGTTTCAATAGTTCTAACTTGATCTTCATCAGGTTAAGTGTCAGCAGCCCAGCTAGGTATAGCTTTATTCCGTTTCCTTTCTGTCTATGTCTCCGTCACTTTCTACAGACTGTTCTTGGCCATTCCATTTTTTTCCACACCCCCACTGTTGACGAAATTTTCCAAAAAACGTAGAAGGGAAGGTCCGTGGACGAAATTTTCTGAGGGGTATAAGGAATAAGGCGAAAATTTCCGAAGGTCACGAGGACGCTTTTGAGATTTTCTAATGGTCAGTATTGCTGCGTATTGGGAAGATCTAATAAAATTCTCTAGGCAGTCACAAGGTTACCTTGCATCTCTTTTCTGAGGGGTCTTGAAAAAATCGTGTCGGCACTTTGATCTTTTTCTTAGGGGGTTGGCAGTCACGTGGATATAAATGGAATGGCCCTAAAAATATAGTGGGTTTGCCATTCATTTATCCAGCTAATATAAATTTAAATGCTAGACTATAATGCTGGTGATTGTATTTTAATTACCTTTCTGGGTATTCCTTAAAAGTGGTGTTGATCCTAAATTTTTTTTTTTTTGGCTAAATGAAAAAGAAACCCAATACCATTACACGGAATTTGTTTAAAGTTGAATTGAAAGTCTTCGCATTTTACTAGTAAGACAAGAAAAAAATGACACCCCGGGGCACACCAACTAGTCAAATGCCTGGGTTATGCACAAGCGTATCTAATCAATATATTCGATACTAGATGAAAATCGATCATAATCGATACTAATCAATTGATTAATATCGAAAATCAATTGGTCACTTTCTTGTGATTATTGATTTTTGTCTATTTTTGTAATTTTAGCTATCAATTTTATCAGTAATATTATTTTTGTTGAAATGGACAAGGATCATGTCGATACATTCATTGTCATTAAAACTGTTCAGTTGTAGCATTTGACTGATCCTTGTCAGAATGGATGACAACTAACATCATCTAACATAATAGAATTTATGATGGTTTTAATCTTCAAAGTTGATTCACACGTTAAAGCTGAAGGTAAGTTTTGATGAAGAGTGTACACCACTTTTTGCTTTAGGAGATTGTATTAATATACGCCTTGCATTTTTTTATGGATTTCAATCGATTGAAATGACTGAATCAATTGAAAAATATTGAGTATTATTGATTAATCGATTAGCATTCCAATGATCGATTTCCATTGATTAGATATGCCCCAGGTTATGCCAAGGCTCAGGGTGGTGGTGGAGAGTTGATATCTCTATTTGATCAATACATTATTCTGCTGCTGGGGTACCTTGATTTTAAAGTTTTTGTACTACTTATATGCACTATGGGAAACATAACTCGCGTGACACATGATGGGTAATACTACTGTAACAGTCAAACCTCACAAGAGCAGACAGCCTTTTGGGACCAGAAATCGTTTCCACTTGTCTGCTAATTATTTGGGAGATTTAAAATGTAGTGTTTGTATGTGGCTGGGACCCATTAGTAAGTATCCTCTTTTGCCTGGAAGGTGTCCGCCTACAAGGGATATCTGTTAGCAGAGGTTTGACTGTATTGATTTTTCTACTATTTCAAAGAAAGAGGAAATAATTATGTTAAATTATGTAAACTGTGTGTTAATAATTCTTCATTACTGTGTTGCTTACCTGAGTAAATATTTTATTAATTACTTCCAGGGAAGATATGGCAGAAAGTAAACCCAAGTTATACTGTGCCTGGTTCTGCCCATTTGCACACAGAGCGTGGATTTCAATGCTAGCAAAGGGAGTGGATTTTGAGTACATAGAGCAGGATCCTTACAATAAGTCTGCAGAATGGCTGGCTGTCAATCCACGTGGACTGATACCTGTCATTGTACACAATGCTAAATCAGTCTACGAGAGTCATGTCTGCATAGAATATATTGATGAAGCCTGGCCAAGTGAACAAAGCTTACTACCCAAAGATCCTTATCAAAGAGCCAAGGCTCGCATGTGGGGAGATTTTATCTCCAAGAAGATCATACCACCATATTACCGTTTCCTACTGAAGCAGTCTCCAGAAATACAAAATGAGGCCAGAGAGCAGTTCCTGGCTGCTATCCTGGAGTTCACAAAGGCAATGGATGAACCAGGCCCTTTCTTCCAAGGCATGGAGCTTGGTTATGTTGACATCATGTTTGCTCCATGGGCTTGCAGAATGTACATCTTGGAGCATTACCGTGGCTTTGAAATCCCTCAGACAGATGAGTTTAGAAGATATCATGTGTGGGCTGAAGCTGTGAAGAATCACCCCAGTGTAAAAGCCGTTCTACAGGATAAAGATAGGGTTTTGGCAAATGCTAAACCGTATGCAGAAGGCAATGCCAAATCTGAACTTGCAGATGCTGTCCGTAAAGACACTACTATTCCCTAGGGACTATTTGCTTTAAAGCACAGGACACACCGCAGGCAAATGTACCTCTCGAACGGTCCTATATGTAAAAGACCTAACAAACAATTGTCTCACCAGACAGTCATTTCATATTTGAATAAAACATTGGTGCTGACAGTGTTCAGCCTAGTCAGGGTAAGATTTAACGTAGTGATATCAGTAAATCATGCATAGTGACGACACTGGTAGAACATTTTATAGATTATCTGTTAATGGTGCACAGCTTACATTAATTTTAGGTGATAGCAGAAATACAGGATATTTTGATACTAACGTGCAGAGTTTATATCACTAATAATTAATGCCCTAAATATTTAGCAGACCATATTGTAATTTTTGTAATCTGGACATCTTAATATATGCGCAAAATGATAATAAATGTAGGATTTTACTGAAAAACACTTGTTTTGCCACTAAAAGGCAACTGTGTTTGTAATTTGTCATTCACTTTTTTAATTGTGTGATTTTAAGCTTTAGATGGTATCACCTTCCTAGAATTTTGTGTTATGAAATAACACTGACATTTTGAAAATGAACTTGTTTAATCTTAATGTGAAGGCAAGATTGAAATAAACACATTTATTTTCATTTTGATGCAAAATTAATTGGGCAGTTTGTTGTGAGTTGATTTCCTACCTACAAGATGGAGAATAATATTCACTTCCTCTTTCTGAATAACTGTGAGTGGAGAATAAGAGAGGTGTATATCTGTGAACTTAGCCAATTTCTTGCCCCCAATCCCAGTCCAAAGTCCCATTCCTACTTTTTGTTATTCCCAGTCCCTCTAGCACAAATATTATTTTTCCATTGGAAAAAAAAGGCAAAATTATCCCAGTTTCCATACAGGCTCCTCTAGCATATATGAAGGGAAGGAAAGGGAAAAAAAGATGGCTGGGGAGGAAGGGGCAAGGACTTTTCCTATTTCCTCATATTTCTTGACTACCTCTTCCAGTGACTGGAAATCACGGGAAATTCTGTGGAACGGATTTTTTATGATAACTGCAGAATTTCTCGTGCGGTCATTGGTTAATTTTTATTGTGAATAAGGGGAAAGACACATGAATTTATAATTTATGCGATGTGTCAACGAGTGAGAGTGAACTGTTATCGTAAAAAACAAATTGAAGTCAGTTTTTAATGCGTCTGTCCTGTTATTGGCAATGAATTTCGTGATAACATTGTCAAAGTAGTCTGCAGATCCACAGCTACTTTGACAATGTTATGACGAAATTCATGATCAATAACAGGACAGACGCATGAAAAACTGACGTCAATTTGTTAAGATTCTCTTGCTACGTATTGCGGACGTATTTTCATGAGAATGCCAGGTTACCAAGTTCAGTCATCGTGTACAACATGGCGGCGGTTGAGGAATCGTGAAGTGAAGAATTCGTAGTTTTAATTAACTTTTATAGGAGTGCTTTAAGAGAGTTATGTCTCGGAAAAAGCGCAAGAATAAAGCGCCACGCTCTGGTAAACTTCATAAAGCATTGTGTGAGAAAGATGTCAACGGAGGAGGTAGGCTTGCTTAATATATTTTCGTTAATTTCCAAGCTGAGCTGATGGTTGTGATCTTTTGCATGATGGGTGAATTGCAGCTTGGGGTCTTTGTATCTCTACATACTCTGTAGTGATACATTAACAAGTCAAATAATCACAAATGGCCTATGCGTCTTTAGGTTAACATGGCAAAAAATCTTCACATAGCACTATAACTAGTGCGAGTTGAAGTCTTTAGAAGCTCTTTTTTTGAAGTCTTAGTAAGCTCAATTATAGATAGAAAGATAGATAGAAACGTTATTAATGTGTCAATGCCTTGTAGCCTTGTAAAATCCCATACTAATTTGGGGACACAAAGAACAATCGAAGAACTGATGTAAGCTTACAGAACCCTTAGCAGCCTCCGCCATTTTCGATGCCATCGAAATTATTGATAATGCATGGTGACGCGAAATCTTATTGCTTTACAGTTTACTGTAAGTTGTGTTTCTGAAAGTATGTTTAATTATCTGTGGTAGTTTCACAGTGATTTCCTTGGTTTCAACACGCTCCAAATAAAATATAAGCTTATTAACCAAACTCTCGCATGTAAACAAAAACAAAGGTGTGGCTGACTAGAGCCTTGTAAAGGACATCTCAAAATGGCAGCTGTTAATTAAACTACATACTGGTGTATAAGTAGTTCGTAGAGTGTGATCGTCCGGGTAATACTGGTGTATAAATCGATTGCCCAAAAACAATTCAGGAAACTCCATTTTTACTCTCCATCAGTCATCAACTGACTGACAAGAAGTAAAGCCGATCGTCTTTTTCCAGATCTGGCCATTGAAGACTTTGCTAATGCGAAAGATGCAAAGGAAGCACTTAGACGGACATCAAGAGGATTTTCAATGAGTGCAGGTATGACACATGTTGTGCATGACTTAGCTATGAGTAAACAACATTGCTAAATTAATAAATATTCTACTTAATTGTAGAATGAAAAAATAAAATAGGTCTTTTAACACTGTAAGGATATTCCCTACATCTTGTCAATGTGTACTGCTAAGGTAGGTAGGTTAAGTCTGTATATGAGCCAAGTGGCCCATTAGGCTAGAGCTTATCCCAGTTTCTGTAGAATGAAGTAGCTCGGAGTATTTCTAGCTCGGAGTATTTCTACTCCCCCCTACATGGCATGCTAGTCCATCACAGGGTTGCCACAGCATTAAATTTGGCAATACCCATTTATCCACTTGCGCAGAGAAAGACATGTGAGAGTAAAGTGTCTTGCCCAAGAACACAATACAATGCCCCGGCCAGGGTTCAAACCCAGACCACTTGATTCGGAGACGAGCACACCAACCATGAGGCCACTGTACCTCCCACTGTGTACTGCTAATAAAAAAGTTGGCTTTTGTTCTGTAAACAGTGGTAAACAACTAGAGTTGAACAGCTTTGAAGAAATAACTGTGTTCCTTGTGGTGCATAAGCAAGACCTATCTAGACCTCAGACCTTAAAATGTTTAATACAGTCATTCACAGCCTTTGACTGTTTGTACTTATTTTTCTTTTGCAGCAGCTATGGTCGGTGAAGCTGAGAATGAGAACATGATTCCCTGGTATGACAGAACAGACTTTGACTCGCTATCAGCTGAAGAAGATGAACTTGAGTCATCAGCAGAAAAAACCATGTCAAGATCAAAACGGTCCAAGAACAAGAAGAAAGATAATATTACATGTGATGAATCTAGTGAGTGTGGATTGATATACCCATTAGATGTGTGGTGTTTGTTAGCCAAGTACATCTGTCCTGAACATGTCCAGAAGTTTGCACTGATCTGTAAAGGAGCAAGACAAGCTACAAACATGCGGACATTTTGGCTAAGACTTTACAACCGTCACATTACTCAGCCAAAGAAGCTACCTGAAAGGCTCCAGCCAGATACGATTGAATGCCGTCCTGGATTGCGTGCTAGGATCATAAGAGCTCTGTTCCATGGGTATGAGCCATTCAGAAGCCGGATTTTGTCATACAGTAGTTTACGGGATCCAAGCATACTAGAGTCGCACATGTGTATATCAATGTGGTACAAGCAGGTGCTATGCAATAAGCAAACTAAAAAAGTCTGGGTGTTTTATTTCAAGTTTTCCCAGAAAGCTACTCATGTAAAGAGAAAACCACGTTATTTTTCTCAGAAATGGTTTGCGCAAGTGGACGACTTGACTGACAATCCTGAAGAAAATCACTGCATTCTTCAAGTTAATTGCGTCAATTTTGTGCCAGTGTACCCAGTGCAAGGTCATGTGTTGACTAAAGCCTTGGTAGGCATAAGTCACGATATGAAACACAATAGCATCAAGTTGACATTCCACTCACCACGCAGTGATGGCAGATATAGAAAGGAAGATGGAACTACTGTGGTTTTAGATCCAGCATGTGATGTCAAAGTAATTAATTGGTGGAGTCCACTTTATCCTCATTGTGAAGATACATTGTAAATGTACTTCACTCACAGAATTTGACTGTTAAATTTATTAAATACATAGTTCAAGATGGATCAAAGACATAGTACAGAAATAGTTAAAGTGAGCAGAAGAGAAGTAAGACATTGCATACAGGTCATTTATGTCAGTTGTGAAAAAAAAATATTTAGGGATCAACAAATTTAATTTGACTTTTTCCGTTTCTGTTTGTGTACACAAAGTAATCCACTGTAAATTGCATGGTTCTGTTTTGACCTGTGCATGATACAGTAAAGGATAATGGCTGGTTAATTCACTGGTTCGGTACGTGGTTTACATTCCACATTGAACTTGATACATGTCTGTATTTGCCATTTGTAAGCAGTACGCTGAAAATAATAGAGTGCAGAAAAAAGGTACAAATTTACACTGCACATGTTAGAAATTTCAGTCCTTGTTGCAATGATCTGTAAAAGCTAAAGGGGAAATTAAGGAAGGGGAAAAAGTGCAGGCAAAAGAACTAAGGAGACCATTTTGTTAGTAAACCTAATAAACACATACAAAGATGAGGGTTAATATCTGTTTTGTTTCAGAGAGAAAACAAGATTTTCAGTTTCTAGCTCCAAGCCACAACGTAGTTTAGTGATGCTAAAATTTACAAATTTAGAAGTATATTATTTCATTGTAGCAAGCAAATAAATTAAGGTGTTATCATTCAATTCCATGTATGAACCAACAACAAGGTCTGGATTTTCAAAAAAGATTAAACAGTAGTGAAATTACAATAGTGTGAAATGTATTTATTTAAATGATTTTACTTTGTACAAATATGCCTCTAATTCGCCCAAGGCTCATTGTTGTTCAAAAGCTGATCAATACTTATCCAAGATTAAGAGTTAACAGAAGCAAAACTGCAGACTTCCATCTTCATACATGTAGATGGCAATTCACATCAGCACACCTGCCAGAGCTCCACCAAGTCCCAGATCTTATTGAAAGCACTGCTGATAACTTAACAATTTTTTTTAAAGTTTACACTAATCCTGGGTTGGCTCAATCCTGATTTGAACTTCAGCAATGGTGCGAGACTGATCTTTTTTATTCATTATTCACATCTTGTACCAGCAACTCTCTGTTTTCGTAAGTCCAGAAGCCATTCAAGTCAATCAGAATACTTGTCACTGTCTCTCCTTGGCCACTGATAAAAGATATTAGAAAATATCCTACTGGAAAGTGTTTGCTTAAAGGCATACTACAATTAAACAATTAGAAAATTGAGAGCAAATAATCTAATTGTTTTAGTATAAACCTACCAGTCATTCTTTATCTAAATCCTCTTCAAGGACACTTAAAAAACGCCAAGAAGCGGCCATAATAACTTTGTTAACAAGGGCACATTGTTACGCTACTCACTGTCTATCTCAGAATAGATGGGGAGTAGCGTAGCCAATCAGAGAACGGCATTCATGATAGAATGCTAGTAGATTTATACCGAAGGCATAAAGAAACACAGAACAATTTTAACACTAAGTGTTGATATAGTGATAGTGAGCAAAGAGAAATAACATTAAGATAATCAAAAAAGTGGCACTAAAGAAAAAGAAAACATCCTCTCTTGTTTTTATCAAACTGTAGAAACACTTGTGAAAGCTTGGGAGAACTCAAAAATGCTGTGGAGTCACTCGGCTGTGGCCCACGTTCCCACACCATTTTCTTGTTCTCCCAACCTTCATTCCTGTTTCTATAACTTGATTAGAGACAAGGAAAATCTCGTCTACGTCTTAAAGATTGTATTAGTTGAACATGAAACTGTCATATGCCTACAGTAGTTGTGGTGTACTTCTTGAAAATCTACCATAAACTGCAATGTTGTGATATTTTGAAAATATGTTTTAAAGCAACGTTTCAAGCAACTTGGCCAGCAATTGTGTCATGTTATTGCAAGGCAAGTTGTAGAGTGCCAGAGATGTTACTAAACACCTAAATTCACTGAGCACACTGTTCCTGTAATCATTGAAAAAAGGGTTATCCTGCAAAGAAACATTTCCAGATGTTCGTTTCCAGGGGAATTACGCCAAGCAATTTTTGATGCATTGTGTGTCTGACTGTGCAACAAAATTGTATGAAAAATTTCACAGAAGTTGGCCTGTGTAACAGGCTACAGTGCTGAAGTCACTTAAAGAGATAACACTTGTAAACCAGGGTTCAACTTTCAGGAAAAAACCTTGGGACCAGCTAGCCCCTAAGTTTTCAGATTTAGTCACCAGCAAAAGTATTTCAGTGAAAAGTTAGTCGCCAGTGAAAAAAATTGGCTGCATTGGTGACCCCAGCGGTTGCAACATCAAGCTCTATATACTTCACTGACCTGTTAACAAGATCTTGTAGACTAATCCTGTAAGGGTCTGTAGGCTTGACCATATCAAAAATCTCATCCTGCAAGACAAAAGACATCACTGCCATACAATTTTTGGTGGAGTGCTTTATTGACACAAGTCAAAGCTGGCTTTGAGGAAACATGGTTCCTGGGTCTTTAGTTTCATTATTGTGAGCTGAGTATTTGATAATCAATTAGTAACATAACAATAAGTTATACAAAGCATTCCTTTATTTAATTATCAGGACATAAGTTAATAAGTAGTATTTAATATTGTTTACCTTCACATCAAGAAACTTCACTGGTTCATGGCCGTGCTTCTTCATCTCCTCTTGAATTTCCTTTGTGAAAGATTCAAACAAAATTTGTGAGAGGCAACTTAAAAAGACATGTAGAGTTCTTTAATAGAGCAAAATAAGTTTTTTTAATGGATTACAGTTGGGAAACAGTGTAGTTATAAATCAACAATTGAAAACCTCACCCTAAAGAAGTAGTTTAATGAGAAGATGTTCAGATGCCCCAAAGCCTGAAATGAAGGAACATAAAGTTTTAATATTAATTTTAATCCTGGAACGAAAAAACTTAAGATTCCAACATTTGATAACTTCCTAAGATGCAGGGCTTGAAAAAAGTGCCATCCCATTGTCCCAGACAAGTAGATTTTCCTTTTGGGCAAGTAACTTTTCATTCTCACTTGCCCTATGGGCAAGGGATCAAGCAAGTCAACTGCCAACTAAATCATTAAAAGAGCAAACTAAGACTTTCCCAGGGAAAGCAAAATTTGAGAGCTACTTGTCCAAAGGGCAAGCTGGAATTCAAGCCCTG